CAATAATAAATACTATTACTTAATGAAAGCCTATACTCAATTCTCAGTTTTTATGAGCAGCTACCATAAAATGTTTCTTTTAAAGGAAGCTTTAATTTTGCTAAATGTTAAAAATATTTTTAACCTGTGCTAGTTAAATATTTTATACATGACAAGATTTCTCTGACAAAAAGTAAAATTTTAGCTTGACAAATAAGTTAAAAGACAACGCACATTCTCTTCTTGAGTTAAAGAATTATTTCATTCATCAAATATGTATTAAATGTATTTAAAAAGATGAAACACACATGTGAAGACAATATAGTTAGTCTCCAAAGATCCAGTAYAGCTTTTAAAATGCTAAATAAAGCTGTTTTGTTTATTGACAATCAGTTAGATCGTTCCTAAAATTAACAGACATAGAATAAAATAAAGGAACTTTATATGGTGGTTTCTCTTCTGAGTAATTCATGCTCAGTGTGGTGTATAATGTGTGATCTGTGGATCTTTATGAGCTAAAGATATCTTTTATTTTATATCTCACGTCTTTTTATTGTCTGTCCCCAGCCTTGTTGCAACCTAAATGCGAGAATCTAAATTTTATTGTGTTTAAATTTAGTAATTAACRGAGTATTTTTTCAATTACTTTACAATACTTAAAATATATCTATCATGTAGTAAWTGTCTTATATGTAAGTCTTAATTTACTAATTCTAAAAATTKTTAATGATGTAAAATAAAATACTAAAACCTGTTCATGACTAATGACGTTGTGTTTATCTGTTTGTCCACATGCAGCAACTTAAAAAAAACAGAAGTGATGGGAAATGTGCTAATTGTGTTTGTTATTAGGTAAATAAAAACACAGGATTTAAGAAAAAAGTCTGATGATATAAAATGCAACTCATTTTTGAATAACTGTAACCTTTGAGTTATCGTCTCATGCGTTTGTTGTGTATCATATGACTTTAATTCTTCAACATGTGTAGTGAGAGGACGCACAGTGACAATGAACCTGAGTCTCCCTGACCAGAACATGCACAACTCAGCTGAAGGCCTCGAAGACGACAAGCCTGAGGTCATGYTGCCCTGCTTTCGTAGGAACGTTTACGACGAGCCTCTGGCCTCTTACTCAAACGGGTCCATCATCTCTCAGCTCCTCCGCAAGACGATCCACARCAGAAGGGCCCTGGATGAAAGCCACTTCTACCTCTCCAGCTCCACGGCTGCCGACTCTGGTCAAGAGGACCAGAGCAGTGTCTCCTCAAAGGACAGCATAGTGGAGGGGGCCGAATCCCCCAGCAACCCTGTCTCCACAGGAGCCGGCCCAGAAGGTGAGCATCCTGTGACGGATCACCTTCAGGCCAAAAGAGCCAGAGTAGAAAACATCATCAGGGTCATGGCTGGCTCTCCCAACAGCCGGCAGCATGGAGACAGCGAGAGGTCTGACACAGAGATCAGAGACTCCAGGGAGGCCAGAGAATCCCTCAGAGAGAACAAACGGAAGCAAAGGTTGCCTCAGCATCAGGAGCACAGTCCTGCAGGTGGGCAGATGAACAGGAAACTCGGGGGCGGCGGCAGCGGCGGTGATACCAGCGACAACAAGGAAAAGGAATGCCACAAGTTGAAAGAGCAGCTGCACAGCATGCAAATGCTCCTGCATCAACTCCAAGAGAAGTTTCTGCACGTTTACAGCCAGAAAAATCTCCAATATGAAAGCAGAAACGCGACAGAAGTCRATTCTGAGCACGATTTCCTGGGAGAAAACGTCGAGTCGTACGTAAACAGCGAGTGGGATTTTGAGAGGAGCAGCAGCATGGTGACTCTGGACTGTAAGGAGAAGGATYTGGTTCAGGGAAGTGAAAGTCAGAATTTGCAGGAAACCCTGAAACAGGAGCTCTCCAGTGCCATCAATGATTGTGTGGACAGGGTGTTCAAGAAAGTGTCTTCCACAGGGCTGGACTTGTCCCCTCAGCAGCGTGTGTGCTCGTCACCAGAGATGCAGATTAGAGACGGGAAGATCCAGATGACTGACTCCACTCGTGACGAGTCCCAGGTTGAGGAGGTCATAGCAAAGTCTCAGTCATCAGAGTRCTATGAAAAGTCAGAGGATCAAAGCACACAGGACCAGACAGAGGCKCTTTCACTGGTGGTCCGCAAGCCAAACGTGACCCCCGTGAGCTCAGTCACGCCGGCTGTGAAAAGGCCCTACCCCRTGCACCACGCACCTTTCCAGTTCAGCTACACGACCCCGCTGCACGAGAGCCACATCCTGGAGCACCTTCTCAARTACGGGCCCCATTCTAGCTTTGGAGCTCTCCCTTGCATGCCCCCGTCGATGGACAGGACCTCCCCAGACACGATGAACCTCTCCTGGGACACGGTCGCCATGAGGTCTAAGGTGACATCCAGCCACTTCGGCCACCACCCTCGTTCCTCCTCCATGGGGGCGTTGGCCGTCGATAACCTGTGTCTCCCTCACGTCAAGATGGAGAGCGGGGAACTGCAGAGCATGGCTGAACGAAACCCCTACATGTCYCTCAATATATCCTTTGATTTTAAACTGTTGAAAGAATTTGATTTTTTGTAGTCTCAGTGAAAACCATACTGTTATAGCTCTATGGTAGGTATATTATTATGGCTGCATGACTCTTTACACATAAAACACTTCACACTTTGCTGTAAAATAATTAATGTCTTTGATAATATTGTTTATTTTATTCACTGTGTCTCAGAACATTTTTAATCATTTATACACACAATATTTACCTTTCATTCAGKACAAACTTCCATTATTTTTAGCTCGTCCATTTGAACAATGGCTGGTCGAGGTTCACTTCGACGTGGGCAGTTACAGCAACAAAACTTCAAGGAGAATTTTGCCTTTGATCTCGCTAACCCCACAGAAAATTACAGCATCTTCTTTAATCTAAGCCGAGTAATGACTTTAAGTCTAGAAAAAGACAAATAAAAAGGAATACAAGGCTTTGATAAGAATTGCCAGGAACAAAAGCCAATTTTTCAAAGGCAGAGAAAGCTTCGGCCTCTTTTTCAGGAAGAATCGTTTTTTTTTTTTCTTTTCTTTTCTTTTTTTTCAGACTTGAAAAGGTGCAGGATCTATTTCTCCATCATCAGAGTGATAGGGGTGCATCTAAAAGGTCACATCTGAGTGCTGGTGGAAACCACAAGTGCTTCCCTACCATAGCACTTGAGCTCTTGTCTTGAGCATTTGTTGTTGGATCCCTTTGTCAGAAGGTATATGATTGATATAGAGTGCAAGATTACCAAACTAAATGCAAATTAGCTTGTTTGATTATGAAGAATATTTTTTTATTTTTTATTCTTGTTGCTTTCTTTTTTTAAACATGACTGGATGTGCATCTTAAATAATAGTGTTGCTCATTATGCAGTAAATAATCACCAATTTAATCCAAGAGGCGATAAGTTCGGTTCGTCTTTCAGAGAAGTACATTTTGTGGTAACGCTCAGGATTCACTTTATCTTTACAGTGCCAAGAGCCCTGCTTCTCTTTGAACAATGCCACATAAATCTTTCATCCACACTTCCGTATTTCAAAGGCAGGGTTCCCTCATAAATGTGTGGTGTGGTGACCTGATAAGAAGATATTATGACCTAAGGCAGTGGACTACACAGGAAATGGTCATGGGCATCTTCAAAAAYTTATGAAAGGATCATATATTTTGCAACATATTTCAGAATTTATATTCTAATGCTTGATAAATAATTAGAGGAGTAATTTATGAAAACAGAAGACATAACTGCGACTGTTTAGAAGGAAGGAAAAGCAACATATGCTGTCTTTAAATTGCCGCACTACTATWTGACAATCAGCATCTCATTTCAAAACATTTCAAAACAAGCTGCCTTAACTCCCAGGCATGAAGTGCTCTGCTCTCTAATTAAAAATCCCTAATCTAATTCCTAATTCTGTTTTGCCAATAAGCGCATGTTAGGACCATTATTGACTTCCAAGTTAATGCCAAGCTGTTCTTTAGTGAAATTTAATTTAGGCCGAAGATGAGGCAATGCAATACTCTGGTTCCACTATCACTTTGCGTCGGGCTTTGCGGTGTGTGTGTGTGTGTGTGTGTTTGATTTAATTGTCAGTTTTCCCTTAACTTAAGTGCAAAACATCCAGGAGGGTCTCACTCCGAGTCATCTGAAGAAGGCGAAGCTCATGTTCTTCTACACACGCTACCCCAGCTCCAACGTGCTGAAAACCTTCTTCCCTGATGTCAAGGTACGGCTTCGCACCTTTCTGAAACAAATCGACAGCACGTGTCAAACGCAGACAGAAGTGTTTGTGCTGTTTTTTTTTTGCCCTCGGTGTCTACTTGTCACTGTGTGTGTTTGGGATGGAAAAAAAAGTCAGCAGTGTGGCGGAGGAGAGAAACAAAAACGCAGAGGGTTTAAATAACAAAGCCGCTGAGCTGCTAGTATGTCCTGGGGGCAGAGGGAGATACAGGGGCATTCTCTCTTTAAAAAAAGCCTCTCCAGTCAGCAAATGGAGTGACAAAAGACTCTGTAGGCAAGGCATTGCTATTGAGTGTCAACAGAGAGAGTTGGTATTAGAGACTTTTGCAGTTGCAACCAGGCGGTCCTAAACAAAACATCCTGTGTGTTTTGGCCTTGTCATTCTTTTTTCTCTCATCTTTCTGTCTCCTTCATCGCTGTTAGCTATTTTCTTTCAACCTAATGTATCCTTTCTACCTTTATTTCACCTGGATCAAGTCTCCCTCCCGCCCAAGTTCCTCCATACATCACTGAGCTTTTTTTTCCCCATCTCCTTTCCTATCTTCTGTCCCGGATCTCTGAGCCTGTGCCGGCCCCTGACGCTCAGTCTGCCATGACCCCGAGGGTCAGGGGGGAGGATGCTGTCGCTGCAGCCCTGCGAAACGTCTCCTCCTTGCTTACAATCCTGTGGTGGGAAGTGGCACTGGACAAAGGAGCGCATAATCCCAGTGTCTGATTCCATCCTATCAGCCCGAGTCAATGAGAGGGAAGCTTCCTTCTGTCCTTACGCTGCCGCTTTCTCACCCACCACACCACAGAGAAGAGGCGTCTTTGATGCCTGCCCAGCCCTTAGGCCTTTTTTTTCTGTCTTTCTGGATGACAAGATAGAATAACAAGACTAATGTCAAGACTATCTTTGAAAACACAGACCTCTGACAGATGTTTTTTCATCTCAGACATTGGTGGGAAAAGATTTGTGAAATTAAGGTTGCAAAGAGGGACCATGCTGACCATCTAAATCCAGATTTGCAGTCAGTGATGCTAAGGGGTGAATCACAAAGTCAATAATAAAAAGCTGTATTTTTACAGCTCTAAGTTAAGTCTGATTTTAGGAGTTTTAAATTTCATTTTATGAATATTATTTTTTTTGTCTGGTTCTTTACACGAGTGTAGCTGAAAGGATCCAGTCAGTGAGAGAATCGGTTTTGCAGGGCAGCCTTGTTCTGAAAACTGTGCAAAACTAAAATCACTTTCTTTCCTCCTCCAGTTCAATCGCTGCATCACCTCTCAGCTGATCAAGTGGTTCAGTAACTTCAGGGAGTTCTATTACATCCAGATGGAGAAGTTCGCCCGCCAGGCCATCGTTGACGGCGTCACTGACATCAAAGACATTACCGTCAGCAGGGACTCCGAACTCTTCCGGGCACTGAACATGCACTACAACAAAGCCAATGATTTTCACGTAAGTCTCACTAATTATTCAAACACGAATGTTTGACAAATCCAGCATTGTTTTTTATTAGAAAGGATTATTTTAGGTCATACATGAAGAAATACTTGACCAACATCAGTTATAAAAATCCCTTATAAACAAAAAAAACCCCATAAATACAATGTTATCCTAAACTATTTTTATATTTCATAACAAATCATTTATTTTGATTATTAGAAATCATCTTACATTTTTCCATTTACTGTTTGACAACCAACAGTGAGGTCCAGACCCCAACTTTAAATTGCACACCTAAAATGGATTGGATTTACAGTAATTAAAAAAATGTCAGAATAAAACCATTTTTAAGTCAAGCAATTAATATTTATATGTAAAAACTTGGTTTAAATGGTTTGCTTTGGCAATTGGGCAAGGTGTTTTCGAGGATTTCTTGGTATCTGCAGGTATTTAAAACAACACATGTAAACTCCCAGATCCCTCTAACCAACCTCACTTGTGATTAATTTAATCTTAGTAGTTCAATGTTCTGATTAGTTCACCAGCTAAACATAACAAAACTACGTGATCATCAGATCTGAAAGGTTCCGTCTGTTAGTCATGATGAGACTGCAGATGTAAGACCTCCATGTGGCGGTGAACATGTGTGACTTTAGGTGCTGACCTGTGTTTTATGCTGCACCTGTGGCTGACCAGTCCTTGCAGCCATTATCTAAACTCCAGAGTGATGCTTTATCAAACTGTGGGAAGAGGAAGCCACAAAATCCCACTAAAACAACTCCGGATTAGAGGACCAGCACGCCTGAGCGAGACACAGATTGCTACTGATGCGGAATGCTGAGAAAGACGCTGTGGATTCCGAGGGAGAAGGCCGTTTGGTGGGAAAGAGATGGGACCGTTTTCTTTACCTTGGGACCAAGACATTCCTTTCCCAGGGACGCTTTTGTGTCAGGAGACGAGGGGGTGAAAGAAAAATACGTTGTCCAAACTGCTGCGGCACTAACTGGGCAAGTGGATGGGAAACAGGGGCTGAGGAATGGATTTCTCCCATCATCCTTTGCCTCTGAGCTTCATTTATTGATGTTTTATATTAGACTCTGCTGCASTTGAAGCCAGCCTAGATTCTCACTACATGATCCAAACCAACACCAAATCCATTTTACACAGGTTATATTCAACACTATAATTATTCATAAGATTTTGTGTTTACGTGTGTGCATCTTTGTTCATATATATTGGGTAGCACARTATGTGACAAACCACTGGACAGTGATTAATGACACTCTCAGATTAAATTCACTGGATGTTCATGTATAACTGCAATCAACTCAGTTCAAGATGGCCACTACAACTCATTGATAAAAGCCAACATAAAAGTGACTGTCTCTTAGGCAATTTTACAGATAKCRAGATRAATTWGAAATTTRGTGTGTTAGTAGCTGAGAGTCACTCTTTTCATTTTCAAGGTTTGACCAAGATGGTGTCTGTTTTTTTCAGGACAAGATAAAATATAGTTTAGGTTAAAACTAACATGAAAGACATCAGGCAACATGCTACCATTAATTGATTATAAATATTAGTTGGTGGATTTTGCTTTGATTTCATTATTGGAAAAAAAATGTTTGGAGCTTGTCAGAATCTCCTACAAGAAAGCTGCCCAGTTAAGGATCAAGAAAATAGAGGCTAATGACTGCTGCATTACATTTATTGTGTTYGGAGAACAAAGAGCCATGTTTCCTTTCATCAGCTTGACTGTTTGAAGGATCGTGCTTACAGGTCTTCATTTCACATACTCAGGACAAACAAAGACAGATTGTCTAAAACACGGCGTCACGTATGAAGCTTCTTCAATGCAAGAATAACCGCACCCCTTAAATTTAATCTCCCTCTGGTTTTCCAGGTTCCTGACAGATTCCTCGAGGTCGCCGAGCTRACTCTGCATGAATTTTACAACGCCATTTCTGCAGCCAAAGATTCTGACCCCTCTTGGAAAAAGGCCATTTACAAGGTCATCTGTAAGCTGGACAGTGACATCCCCGAGGAGTTCAAGACATCTTCCTACTTGTAGATTGCAACAAAAATGAGATGTACAGATGAATGGATGGGTGATTCCTTTCTTTTCTTTCTTTTTTTTTTTGTAAATTGAGATCCTTTCTCTTCTTGTAGTGCATTTTAGTGAGGTAATTTACAGATTTGTTTTTGTTTAAAAAAGTTGGCTCATACATATGCACGCACACACACACACACACACACACACACACACACAC